GGTTGTTTTGGCTTAGACATTTCTGTCTGGGAAGTTACTCAGGACTTTGAATCACATTTACTTACAGCTTGATGTTTGCTAGCTAAGATCCAGGGAGGGGCAGAGCAAACGACCTTCCAGTCCTTGTTGTTCAACTTAGTGGCTTCTGGCCCATGTGCTTGCCCTTTAGCCATAGGTGTGCAACCTCCAAACAGTTTCTGAGTGTCTAGACCTCATGCCAAGGACTCTGTTTTTCACTAGGAGGCAGGTGAGACACTGCTATGTGCATTATGCAATGAATCTACTTTGCTTCCTTTTTGAAAGAAATTTCCTAACAGTAGGAGGTCTGGGGCTGACATCATCCTGCAAAATGCTAAATGCCTTCACTGCCATGGATGAATTCCTTCTCTTGAAGGTCTCAGTCCATCAAAGGAGAGAGGCTGCAAGAAAAAACCAAGCCATAATGAACATGAGCAAAGTCCAACATCTGTGTTTCATTATTCATAAATTTAAAACATTTCTGCCTGGTGCCAAGGCAGTCAGGCAGATGGAATATGCATCTGCTTTCCAAGCTGTCTCAATATCTGCAATGATGTGACAGACACGTGGGCTTGTACTCTGGGACCAATATGCTTGGAAGTGAGGGGAAAAATCACCACAGCTATGAAATGGAAAGACAAATTTAGCAAAGTCCCCAAAAGTGAATGAGGAACTAGATAATACTGGGTATGTGTAACGGTTGGACTTGACGATCTTAAAGGTCTTTTCCAACCCAGTTGATTCTATGATTCTATGTTTTCCGATCAGTTCAGATCCGCAGTGTGCCTTTGGAACAAATACCTCAGTAGTTTTGTTCTTATTATGACAGATTAAAGCATACCTGGTGATTATTTTTAAACAAAGATTAATCTGAGAAAGTGACATGCCTTGCTGCAGGTATGACAACATGGCATTGGAGCAGCTCTTAGCTTCAAACACTAAGTCTCTTTTTGATATCATCATTCTCAATTTTGCAGGACTTATTTTGTTGCCAAAGTACAAAGTTAAAATACTTGAAGTAGGAATAGAATTCCCACTACAGAACAACTATTTCTTTTTCCCAGCCTCATGCTCTGATACCTCTCTGTTACTTTGATGCATAGCTCACTTTGAACCATAAATGACTTGGGTTCGCCTTTTAAGACTAGTACGTGAGTTTATTTTTGTTTCTATTTTGCAGCTACGATGAAAATGCCTTCTTCTCTTTCTACTGTTAAATACTTACGTGAAAGAATTTAAGCTGGTTTCGATAAAAGTAAAAGTCAAATGCACAGGTTATTTGTAATTACACCTTATGATAACAGATTGAGAGATTAGTCAATTTATAGTGTTTTTTACCTATGAAATCAAATCAGAATTAAATTAAGGTTAGTGGAGAAGTACAAACATGAGCTGTGGCTCATACCTGCAAGTAGCAGAAGCAGTTTAACCACTTCAGATAGGTTAACTGACCTACATATCAACTGCTTTAACTGAAAGGAATTACTGAAGGATGGCTATTTAAATTTGGACCACTATTTCAGCAGCAGGCAGTAGCACTGGCAGGTGTTAAAGAAGAGCAGATATTCAGAACAAGAGATAAAAGCAAAATACCATGGAGACTGGCCCAGAATGGGGTGGAGGGGCTGTACTTTAAGCACTAATGCTCTTTCTCAAGTACCCAGCAGTGAGCGACTCACTCATATCCACACTCCTTCAGTAAAAAGACAGTAAGATCCTCTTGAAGCCTACCTATGGCAATTACAGCATCCGTTAGTGTTGTACAGGGAGAGTCACGCTATGTTACAATTATTTACACAGACTTCATTTTGTATGACCCAATAAAATTGCATTTGGCGTAGATCAGAGAGGAGGTAAGGGAGCTGCTGCACTGTGGCTTGTCACTATGCTGTTTACTTCATTGCTGTTCTCTGGTTATCACACCGGATCTTGTTTAGAGTGACGGTATGATTAATTACAAGTAGGGATGGGGAGCAAGTAATAGCAGCATGTGCAGACACTGAGTACAATAAACTTGTTGTTTAACAGGAGTAAAACCACTATGTTGTGCCCAGGCTCACCTCAGGAAAATGAGGAACTGGGCCTTTGCAAGGGGTGAGGGAGAGTTCTGTATTCTGGCTTTGGTTCTAGGGTGAGCAGTAGTGAGCCATGAACAGACTTCACAAACTTCACAAACACCAAACCTGACACTTCGAATATGATGCCACTTTTTTTTTCTTTTTTTTCTTTTTTCCCCAAAGACCTTCTCCATTCTCGATGAAGAAGAACAGAGAGCCCAGATCAATGGTGCCTGCCTGCTCTTTGTCTTTGTTGGAGTTCTTTCCTTTTTCACACAGTTTCTACAGGTAATAGCAGTCCAATGTAGGTACATTTTGGTTTTGATCCCTTACTCTGTGGGTATCTCTTTCTGTACAATGTCTGTGTTTATTCCTGTGCACCCCAGGGTTACACGTTTGCCAAGTCTGGTGAGCTGCTTACAAGACGGTTAAGAAAAATTGGTTTCCAGTCTATGCTGGGGCAAGACATTGGCTGGTTTGACGACCGGAAGAACAGCCCTGGTGCTTTGACTACAAGACTTGCAACAGATGCCTCACAGGTCCAAGGGGTAAGACCTGGTAGTTTAAGAATTGTTTTACTATAAGCACTGATTGAATGTGTGTTCTGGCAAGGTCAGTGTAGACCAGTCCTTGGTCAGTCAATTAATCTGTTTCCATTGATCACAGACTCTCACTTTGGAACTGTTATCATTATATTTACCTAAAAGCACAAACAGGGTCACAATTTACTTCCCATTATTCCTGCCTGTATTACCAGAATCAGAACACAAAAAAAGTCAATAAAATACCAACCATCAATGGAATAAGAAGGAGCATTCAGTGCAAAAGTTTTAATTTCTTTTTTTTTCCTGGAGATGAATTAGCTTTTTGCCACAATGCTGAAGTGTTTATTTCAAAAGCGTGTCAGACTGGTATTTTAGTGACATGCATCACTATTCACGTTTTCAAGTTTCCAGCATGGTGTTACGCTTGTTGTGACAGTTTTTATTTAATCTGATAGTCCACCTGAAATACAGTTTACAGGACTGGCTGATGCTCCAGCTGGGGCCAGTTTCAGTGGGACTTACTGATGGGTGTTTGGGAAACTGAACCACTAACTCCATGCATTGTGCTCCTTAGCAGGTGAGGCTTAGATCATACTGTGCTATAAATATTACCTATCTGAACTGATGCTTTGGTAGAAGTGAGTCACATGCCATTTTACTTGGCTCCAATGCAAGCAATTTTCTTGAAACGAAGAAGGAAACATAGAGATTCCTTTGTTACAAAAATTGCCCTGTTTCAGCTTGACTGAAGATGGTAGGTTAGTTTTTCAAAACTGTTAATGGAGGTTTTAAGAATTTAAAAGACAAATTAACTAAGAGGTTCCCAAACTCCCTGTCAGCAGCAGTACCTACAGAATCGGAGAAACCAGGTGCAAACCTCTTCAGCTCCAGCTCTTACAGGCACTGACAGGGCACATTTTAATTGAAATAAACAAACTTGTAAAACACTGACTGAACTGTTTATAGCCTTCCAAAGGACATGTAGTTCTAAGCACAGGTAGAGCAGTGAGGCACAACCATTTAACCCACAGCTCCAGGGTTAAAAAAACAGAGCTACTTGAGCAGTAGTGGTCTCCACCTTTCACTGCCTGACACACAGCTTGGCCAAATGCTACTATTGCAAAGTGAGCTGAAGGTGAGAAGATGCACACAAGTGTCCAAGGTCTGAAAATGTCTACATCTGCACCAGGAGTAAGAGTGTTTGGGGGGTATTAGAGCTGCAGGATCCAAGAAAGAGCAGCCTGGTGGCTGCTCCCTTTGCAGAGCTGGGACGTGTGCCTTCCTCTATGGCCACATCCTACTGCTGCAGGTCAGAGGAGGTGATGAGCATTTTGTGCTGCAAGCTCACATCCTGCAAATGAATTTGACTGAAAATGATTAGGGATATCAAATGCATGTTTTTTTTCCCTAATGCATAGCAACCAGGTTCCTATCTAGGGCTGCTGTTCACTGCTAAGAAAGAAAATAACTTTAAAGTAAATAAATCAGGTTTATTACAAAGACTAGTGTTCTTGAACTACATAAGGAGAACGTGAACGCATTCAATAAATGTGATGTCAAAGGCATATTTAAAATTTTTCCTTAATAAAGAGACAGGCAGAAACGCAACTTTAAAGTCATCCTTTCTGGTGCTGTTTCTTACTGATTTTAGCTCAGGTGAGAATTTGTTGTTAATAGGTAAGTTGCAAACGGTTCTGTGTGTTATTTAAATCTAGATGGAAAAATTATCAGAGTGTTCAGATGAGGAATTCTCCAGGGAGCCAAGGGAACTAATGAAAATTGTTATATGATCTTTCTCACAATCATTAGAAACGATTTTCGGAGTTCTTCAATGGAAAGTTTGGTGGGTGAAAGGAATAGTGGACATTTGTAGTCCTTCTCTTGATACAATTAACTGGAAACAGTATATTCAAACTAGCTAAATTGCAGTGCAGTCAGCAGTCATTGGTGCTTGATGGTATTTTAATACCATTTAGAGTTTTTTAAAGTTTCATAGGAAAATTTATTTAAAGATTATTGAAGTTACTATTGGAATACAAGTCATCATGTATCTAAGTACAGAATCAATCAGTTCAACGTCCTTAGAGTGGCAGGAGGACGCACAGCAAGCTCAGTACCCTGAACTTCAGAAGAGCAGACTTCGGCCTCTCCAGGGATCTGCTTAGTAGGCGTACCATGGGATAAAGCCCTGGAGGGAAGAGGGACCCAAGAAAGCTAGTTAATACTCAAGGATCACCAACTCCAGCCTTAGGAGTGATGCATCCTGACAAAGAGGTGGTCAGGCAAAAATGCCAGGAGGTCTGCGTGGGTGAACGCGGCACTCCTGGACAAACTCGCATGCAAAAAGGAAGTCTAGAGATAGTGGAAGCATGGACAGGTAGCCTGGGAGGAATACAGAGAAGTGGTCTGAGCAGCCAGTGATCAGGTTAGGAAAGGTAAGGCTGTGGAAGAACTTGGTCTGGCCAGGGATGTCAGGGGCAACAAGAAAAGCTTCTGTCAGTATGTCAGTTATAAAAGGAAGATACGGGGAACTACAGGCCAGTCAGTCTCACCTCAGTGGCTTGGAACTAGATGAGCTTTAAGGTTCCTTCCAATCCAAACCTTTCTATGATTCTGTGATGATTCTGTGATCTCTGTTTCTTTTCTTTGAAGGCAACTGGATCGCAGATAGGAATGATTGTCAATTCTTTCACCAACATTGGGGTGGCCTTGATCATTGCTTTCATCTTCAGCTGGAAGCTGAGTTTAGTTATACTGTGTTTCCTGCCATTTTTGGCCTTATCTGGAGCTGCGCAGGCTAAAATGCTGACAGGATTTGCTGCTCAGGACAAGAAAGCACTGGAAGCTACTGGACGGGTAATGTTATTTAAAAACTAATTTATATTTGCAGTCACGGGTAGTTGAAAAATCAGGCATTTGGGGCCATCAGCAGTCCAAATGTCATGAAACTGGCAATGGTTTGCAAATAACTTCTAGTATTTCAACTTGTCAAATCATCAGAACACTACTGGGAACCCCCTAACTGCAAAAGCACTTGCTGCATGGAATATGCCTGACTTTTCAAAATTGGTGGTCAGAGATGTCTCAGCAATCTGCCTCACCTTTGTTGGCTTTTGTTTAAATACCCATTCGTTGCTGCTGTCCTCAGAGAGCACTGGTACTTGTTCACTTGTTCCCACCTGAGAATTCGGCACTGAACCCAGGTCAGTGTGTATTTTAGAGAGAACAGAATTGCTTGTTGAGTGGGCCCTATTAGTGAACCAGTTTCTCCATCAGTGTGTGCTGCTAGATCACAGGCGTAACTCTATTACTGGTATGGATTGTAAGAGTTCAAATTCTATCCATTCTCATTTGTCAGTTAGTATATAAATCTCTATTTTTTAAATTCAGATTAGCATTATCCTTTTTTCCTGTTAATTTGTAGCAGGAGACTTAGCATTTTCTCACAGGACTTTAAATTTTGCTCCAGGGCGAAAACACACCTGTGTGGGTATTAAACCAACCACCATGGGACACAAGGAATTCAGTGACCCCCGACTAAAGCTCCCCTCCTTGTTATTCTAGCTCCAGTATCTGGGTTAGCAGCATCCCATGCTCCAATGGCTGCAAGACCCTGTGAACTGCCTCACCCAAAGGCTGAGGATAGGTTTATGTAGTTTGCACTGGCTGATCAGACTTCCAGCGCAGGTGCCAAGCAAGGATAAGGTAGGGACACGAGAAAGGAATAGCATTTTTTCATGGGTTCACTCCTCTGAGGTCTGCTGCCTTTGAAACACGCAAACTCCTTTAACTTTAGCTCTGGGTCACTAAGGTCTGGCACATGACTCAGAACCTAATACTTTTAAAATATACCTAATGCAGCTGTGCAGAAACTGAGCTGCATCAGAAACACAGGGGATTTAGGAGATGGGCAAAGTGAGGAAGATTGCCTCAGGTTACACCCCTTGGAGTAACACTTGAACCTTCTCCCCTGCTTTATGCTGCCGCATTTCTAGCATCAGAAAAAGTAAGCTTTGCAGGCCCACCCACGTTTTCTTTCACATTTTCAATGCCTCACATCGGCTTTCTGCAGAGCTACTTAAACCGATCCTAAAATTGCTCTTGAAGAGTACCCACTCCTCCCCATCCTCCTTCTTCCTACGTCGAAGTTCTGCCCAGCAAATGTCTTACCCATCCCACCTTCCGCCCTGCCCCATCTGAACCTTCCCTCTACCCATCTGAGCTCTGAGCTACGTTCAGCCTCCTCTTGCCCTTAATGTGTGGAGCAAACACATGGCCTGGAGCCCTTTGCCCTGCAGCTACTGACTGTTTCTTTCCACTGCCTGCTGCAGCTACCCTGCTGCCGCCCTTCTTGACATCTCCAGAAGCAGCAAATCTTCAGCTCTCAATTCCCATTTTTGGGTGTGATTTAAAGAAGTATGTCATGACTGGGGGCACAGAACTTAAAAACCCCACGTGCTGGTTGACTACCTATACATGCAGACTTCTGGAATATACAAAAGGCATTATGTGAATTAGTATGACTTTGGTATCGTTAATCAAATCAGTACATTTACGGGCCACTGTTGGGTGCTGTTAGGAACAGTCTTCAGTTCCAGAAGGCCAAGGAAGAATTAAGACCTGACCAATTGCCCACATTCAGAGTGGTTTAATTATTTACAAAATAATTTACAAGAAGTGAAGAATCAAAATAGTGTCTTGACAAGGAAAGAAACTTCACTAATGAGTCAGGGCATCAGCTTTTATTCAAGAGAATGACCCAGCTGCTGGGATGAAAAGGGCACTCAGTGCTTCAGCAGTTTTGGCGATAACACCAGTTAGGTCTGGTGTTATTTGCTAATTTAGTTGCCAGCTCTGCATTCAAATGCTAAATACTCTTTTGAGTTCTTCCACAGTGATTGCTCATCAGCCATGCTAAACATGGAAAAGCACAGCCCCAACGATCCAATTCACAGCATCTACTTACCAGCTCCCTCACATTGTGCCATGATGCAAGAGATTCGACACTCGATTTTGGCCAGGAAAAAAAGCCCTGAATTTGGATGGAATATTTTTAGTGATTTATATTCAGATCTCTTCCTACTTGCTAAAAACATTCATAAGCCACATACCAGCCTATGGGTTCCCAAAGGAAAGTGTCACACTGTGAAGCTGCTATCAAAGTCCAGGCAACCTACAGCATTTAAACCTATTTCTTAATAAAATTAAGTAGGGTAAAATTAGGATCAAGCAACAAACAGTCAGTTTACTGCTATAGATGAAACTGTAGTGCTATTTCTTGGGGACCCAAATTATGACCAGCAACAAAGCCCCAATATAAAGCCTACAATTAATTAAAGCTCCAGAGAAGTTTCCATGGCAATTATCTCATAATTTCCTTTGTTGCATCTTTCTATGCACATAGGCAATAATGTGCTTACTCTTTGCCTATGTACAAGGTAAAAATCCTGGAAATGGTGTCACTGATGTTAGAGGAATAAATGTGTCACCTTCTATTTAGTTGTTCCACCTCATCAGGCTTTTTGGACATAAGAGGGAGCAAGTGAGAATACGTAGTAAATTCAAGTGGGTTTAATTCATGAAATAGAAGTTGGGGATAGCATCCCTTCTAACTCCCTACTGCTATAAGTGAAACAAAATAATTGAAATAAACACCTTTTCCTAAAACCATTTTTGCCTTTGTGGATGTCCCATTTATTCATATTACGTGAAATAAGTAATAAGCAAGAGCTTGTAACTTAGCTCTAGTGGAGCAGACAGAGCATTACTAGTGAGGGTGTTAGTAGGCAATTGCTTGTAGGAGGATTTCTCTTTAGATTGGCTGATACTTGGGCAGTCGGTATCATATCTGAACACATTTATCTGTGTCATTAGTGCCCTGTGTTCGTGAAAGAATCGTCCATTTGTGAAAGAACACACTCTACTTTTACAAGTAAAAATTAGGAGCTTTTACCCATTTTCTTTTTTTCTCCTCCAGATTTCCAGTGAAGCCCTCTCTAACATCAGGACTGTAGCTGGGATAGGCAAAGAGAAAATGTTTGTCAACAATTATGAGAAGAACCTGGTTATGCCCTACCGAGCTGCCGTCAAAAAAGCGCACGTTTATGGACTCTGCTTTGGCTTTGCCCAGAGCATCGTGTTCATTGCCAACGCTGTCTCCTACAGATACGGAGGGTTTCTAGTTGACACTGAAGGACTCCATTACAGTTTTGTGTTCAGGTGAGCACCTGCCTCGAGCCAGAAGCAGGCTCATCTCCAGCAGCCATGATCTCAATGTAGTGGCCAGTTTCCCTATGGCTTCCCAGGAATGACTATGTTCCTCTTCTGCACAGGGTGATCTCTGCTATCGTGACCAGTGGAACTGCTTTAGGAAGAGCTTCTTCCTATACCCCAAACTATGCCAAAGCCAAAACATCTGCTGCACGCCTTTTCCAGCTGGTTGATCGGCTTCCTAAAATCAGTGTTTATAGTGAAAAAGGGGAAAAATGGGTAAGTGTGGAGATGAGTAATTTGTGATGTCGTTCAGATCAGTGTAAGCCCTAATGCTGCAACAGAGCTTTGTAAGTCCATGAAGATAACTGCTTTACAAGAAGGTTATGCTGAATGTATAACTGTTACTTGTCTTTGCTCTTTTGGAAGCAGTGATCTCTGTACTAGACAGACAGCAAGAAGAATATTAAGGGTGACTATTGGGAATTTGTCAGTGTCGGCTTCCTAAAATCAGTGTTTATAGTGAAAAAGGGGAAAAATGGGTAAGTGTGGAGCTGAGTAATTTGTGATGTCGTTCAGATCAGTGTAAGCCCTAATGCTGCAACAGAGCTTTGTAAGTCCATGAAGATAACTGCTTTACAAGAAGGTTATGCTGAATGTATAACTGTTACTTGTCTTTGCTCTTTTGGAAGCAGTGATCTCTGTACTAGACAGCAAGAAGAATATTAAGGGTGACTATCGGGAATTTGTCAGTGTAAAACTCCTGTAAATTGGAAGAGGACCAATCTGGATGACTCACAGGATAGGATGTTTTTTCTTTCAGCTCTACAGTTTGCATGTAAAACTATAGCTAGCTTATAGTGGAGGCGTTTTTTCCATTCACATCAAGATGTTGGGGGTGTTCATGAGGAGGCAAATCATCTCTGAGTCAGATAAAATGAAAATGCTCAAGTTTTGGGGAACTGAAAAGTCAGACACGGAAAATTTGAAGTTTATTTCTCATTTAACTTACTTCAGAATTAAATGAAAGCTTGAAATAATTGTTATGAACTAAATACATTAAGTATTTTATGTCAAACCATGAAAATTAAGTATCTTGATTCCTTCAGAATTTTTTAACAGAGCTTTTTAGGAGTTCTGGGAAAACTGACCTGAATTCATGTATTGATTTAACGCTGCAAATTTCAATTGAATTCTTTTACCAAATCCAACTGTTTGCACGGCTGTATTATTTGGCCTGTCACCAGATTTACACTTACACAGTGGCTGTATTAAAATAACTTACCCATTGGCGAGGCAATGCTATTTCCAGTTGATGCCTCAGGCAGTATGGGGAAGCAGAGCTACAGTGTTATGTCTAATGGCTTCATCTCTAGGACAGTTACTCCAGTATTGTTCTTACTGCTCTTTCTGGGCTAATTTCGCAAGTACAAATGTCGTGTTTTAAATGAGAGATGTAAGAATGAGGTCTGAGGAAGAGTTACTTTGTACTTTACAACTCAGTTTTTGAGCTGAAGCTCATTGTAGTGTCTTTCTCATTTCTTTTATTCACCAGGATGATTTCAAGGGAAGCATTGAATTTCTTAACTGTAAATTCACATACCCTTCTCGGCCTGATACTCAGGTCCTGAAAGGACTCTCTGTAGCTGTTAAGCCTGGACAGACATTGGCATTTGTTGGAAGTAGTGGCTGTGGTAAAAGCACCAGTGTCCAGCTTCTGGAGCGGTTCTATGACCCAGAGAAAGGACGTGTGGTAAGCAACGGAAATGTTGTTTGCATGCTGTTGTTTTCAGCAATGCTAGAAAGACTCTTCTGAACGTGTCCTACTGTGCAGCTTAGGAGTGGTGGCAGGTACATATGCACCTTGGGGCTTCAGCTCCTTCTCGAACATCTGGCCTGTTTGGACGATTCCCAAATATCATCTTAGATGTATTCAGGCAAGGTCAGAATACTACAAGCCTCAGGTGTACCCCTGTGTATTATGAAGGTTGTAGGCATTTGCCTTGGTAACTGCTGTATGAAATGTACAATGTGTGGCACTTATTGTGGGAGCACAAGCAAAAATTAAGTCCAAATGGAGCAAAAGAGTCTGGAACATCCCTAAATATATAGCTTCAACATGCAGCCTTCTTGCAGGTTGACACTGTCTACATTTACCTTCTAGTCCTTTAGTTAATGATAGCTTAAAAAACTTTTGTTATCTTTTCCCCATGTAAATATTTGACCATCTAGTTTGATTTCTCATTCTTTGGAAAATATAAGTGTGGCAATTGCTATGCCAGGAAGGCAACAAAGCATGTTCCTAGCCCTAAGCAGTTAAATAGTTCACCTTGGACTTCCTTAAGATTAAGCAAATGGTCTGGTGCCTGGCTGGATCACAGACATACCCAGAAAATGCATGTTGTGCACAAAGGAGTCAAAGATAAGAAGAGTCTTCCAATCACTTTAAGCCAGTTGTGTTTGTATTTTAGTAATATGTCAAAATCATTTATTTTTGTTATAAACTGTATGGTTTGTGCAGGTTGTTGTTTCGGAATTATGTTTCAAGTTTTCTCCTATTTCCTGGTAGTTAATAGATGGACACGACACCACGAAAATAAATGTGCAGTTTCTTCGATCAAAAATTGGAATCGTGTCCCAGGAGCCTGTGCTGTTTGACTGCAGCATTGCTGACAATATCAAATATGGCAGTACCGCCAAAGAAGTGACGATGGAAAAAGTCATAGAAGCGGCCCAGAAGGCTCAGCTGCATGACTTTGTCATGTCACTGCCTAATGTAAGTACCTGTGAGGCCTCACGTGTGGACCTACAGCTCATCTGCTTGGTGTTTATTGCAGTGGGAACTGCTTTGAGTCCAGCTGAAGTTGCTCCACATGTATACCTTTCATTTACTTTTCCTGCCGTAACAGTAGGAGCAAAGAGGGTGTCACGGCCATTCATTACGTTCCGGAGGGTTTGGGCATGAGTTGCTACTGGATTTTTACAGAGTAGACAAATATTTATAAAACTGAAATCAGAGGTTACAACTCTGAACTAGGAGAAAAGACTTTTCAAAGCCACAGACATGAGAAAAGCCACAGCACAGTTCACCAGTCAAAGTGTTACAAATCTCGTTCCATACTGTGGGAGATTTTCCTTCTGACCAGGGCATGATACTTTGACAGAAACTTTTGAAGCTTGCTGCTTATGTGCACTTCAGCAGTACTGAAATGCACTGAAATCATATAAATCAAAAGATAAAATTTAGGCACCCAAACCAAACACTTGTCTGGAAAGCCCTTCAGTCGCTTTCAGAGTCTTCTCCCAAATCTAGGGTGGGGGATTTCTTTTGCCTCAGACAAATCAGCCAATGTCCTGCTATCAGAGTTTTCTTCCAGGCCCATCACAGTGCTTCCCCCCCCCCCCCCACTGCACATGACCTCCCCGGCCATGTCTATCACTTGTACACGGTTTTGAAGGAGGAGGCAGCAATGCTCAGTGCTCTCACCTCTCTCCTCCTGCTCTTCCTTCAGGTTGTGCACTGATATCTCTGCCTCCACCTAAATAAAATCTGCCTTTTGTGTATTTTCAGAAATACGAAACTAATGTTGGGGCTCAAGGATCCCAGCTGTCTCGTGGGCAAAAACAACGCATTGCTATAGCGAGGGCCATCATACGAGATCCTAAGATTTTACTACTGGATGAAGCCACATCTGCCTTGGACACAGAAAGTGAAAAGGTAAATGTTCAGGGATAGGCAATAAGGGAAAGGTAATACAATAGCTTACAATTTACAATGCCTTTTTCTGTTCTTTAGAGAAATCCCAACATGCTCCATTACATGACTGCAATCTTGTGTCCCATTGTTAATTCAGCACTTACTTACACCTTTAATGGGTTTTGAGAAAGATCCAGGAAGCATAGCTATAAAAAAGCTGCCAGCTGCATGGGCTCTCAGACTGCCAGTGACAGGCAGCACCTTCCAGAAACGTGCATGCTTATTCCCTGGGTTTCAGAGCATTCAGTGGGAATCTCTCATAAATACAGCTTCTGCACTTTAATAAACTAAAATATATTCAAGCATACAAATAATGGGCCCGAATGTCCAATAAAAACAGCAGTGAGGGGGCCAAGAACTTGGGCAGTAATTTGCTTAACTTGGTTACACCCTAATTAGAGAAACGATGGAAATTTAAAAAGATCCACTGAGCTGACATTCATTGTGTCAGTTAATAAAGGCGTGCCTTAATTTCTATTGCTGTCCATGTTTACCTGTCACAGAATCATAGAAGCAGCATCAACTAGGTTGGAAAAGCTGCTTAAGATCATCAAGTCAAGTCCAGCCTTTACCCCAGGATGTTCCTTTTTGTACTGCTAATAAACCCAGCTAAGTACACCTACTAACAGAACCTCTGATTTAGCCTTGCAGTCACTTTTACAAGTGTTGCACAAACACAGTTAATTAACCTGAAGCAATCACGTTTCTCCAGCTCTGACTCTCTTTAGTTTGCATATTTTCACTCTGACACTTGGTCTGTTGCCTTTAGACTGTGCAGGAGGCACTGGATAAGGCCAGAGAAGGGCGTACCTGCATTGTCATTGCCCACCGCCTGTCCACGATCCAGAATGCTGACATCATTGCTGTCATGTCACAAGGAGCCGTCATTGAAAGAGGCACTCACGATGAACTGATGGCCATGCAAGGAGCTTACTACAAGCTTGTTACCACTGGAGCCCCAATTAGCTAAGCCACTGTATTCTAAATGTGAAAGATTCCTTTTCCCTGTTCGGACCCCACTGTGCTACAAACTGCTCTACAACACTGTGAGTTCTTCGGTACCCTAAATGTATGTAGCTTTCTGCATCATGCACACTTGTCAGGCACATGCAGGGCACTAAGCATAGTCTGATGTATTCAGGAAGTACCTCAGCCCACTACTAAGGGGAAAAAAGCCTGAAAATGGGCAAGATCTTCGCTGGCGAGCAGGGGAATTGCCACCACCTGCAGTTAGGATGCACAGTCCTGTCTTTCCTCAACTAGCTATCAGGGAAGACTCTGCTCTACTGCTCTGGAAATTGCCACTTTGCTAGGTAAGCTAAATAAGAATACTGAGAATACTGCTGTGTATCTGAAGGGATCAGATCTTTCCTTGGTCTGCAGAGGATTACAACAGCCACCCTTACTGGGCTGTGGGTACAGACCCCCACCCTTACACGCCTTCACATCTTACCTGTCAGGCTGGGCTTCTGCTGTGTGCTGTGACAGCAATAACACGCTGGTGCCCTGAGCCTGGTCTGGCCGTGCCCCTTCAACAAAGCCCTGTCCTTACAAAGAAGGCAGCTCCAAACAAGTAAGGGAAGCAGTCAAGGAGAGTAACAGAAGCTGGTGAGGATCATTTGCCCTACACTCACTGCTCAGATCAAAACTGTCAAATAGATTTTGAATAGGAATAAATGCTTTAGTTAAATCACTGTAAAATCCAACAGTTAATCATCACAGTTACTAAAACACTTCTATAGAGATGGTGATGGGTAATATGTCCTCTTTTTTCAGAAGGAAAGACTATGATGAGGATTTTTACAGAAATCCTAAGTATATTCAGTAAAGGTGGAAAAAAATAACCTTAATTAGCTGATAAACAGAGGCACAATTAATTAAGAAATGGCAAAGGTCAGGAAGTATCTTCTGGCAGAAGCTTGTCCCTGTAACAGTTTGTTATAAGGTCTATCGCATGTTTCTCTGAAATATGTTATTGGTTATTGTGTGCAGGACAACAGGACTCTTCCCTTTAGTGACTTTTAGGCCCTTGAAGACAAAGCAGAGAGACAGGAAGTCTAAATTTCTTTCAAAATTTAAATCTTGATTTTGAATCACAGAGTATTAATGGGAAAAGTCATTCTTCATGTCCTAAAAGCTGCAGCTGGGGGGCAGGTTGACCCACTTTAGAACAAATCCCAGCACAATGGAGTTCCTTATAAATCCATACCACAGTACCAACTGCTGCAAACTTGAATGGAGCTGTAAGGACAAACACTTTATTAGGATACATCCCTTAATTCCAGGCAGAAAGAAACAATTTCAACTTCTGTACAACTCCATTAATAGAATTACTTCAACAGACCCAGCTGAACTCACATAGCTGACACTGAAACACTGTTTTGCCAAGGAAGTCTGTGTTTTAATCTTTAACTGAAAATGAAAGAGGAAGCTGAATTATTTGCCTCACGGTTTAATCTTTTTAGCCTTTTTATGTTTCAGAGCAATAATTAGTTGGATGGCTCAGGACTGAAACTACTGACAGAGTGACTATGAATAACCTATTGACATACCTGTAAGATACTTAATTTATATTAGGCTTTTATTAAAAACTATAGTGACCAGATACTTAGTCCATAATTCTTTTTGCATAAAGAACACCACTTTTGTGGCCCAAATTATACCAATAAATTGTATTTTTTTACTGGCTCTTGTGCTTTAGTGCTTCACCTCTTCCCCTTCAGACAAGTAGATGGGTATCTTACAGCAAGTAACAAGTATTTCTGTGATTTTGGATCATATTTCTCACATGTGTCTGCTGTCCAGAGAAGGCCAATGCAACTAAGTAGTCCCTGCCTCCAAAGGAGCCTGCCATCTCTTTGCAGGAGCACAGCTACATGGGCCCCACTGGGAAGTACTACTACAGCTCTTCATCATACAACCATCCTATTTTTAGGCAACTAGTAAATATTGGGAGCTGTATATCAGGAAGTATGCCTGTAGAACAGACAACAATCATGCTGTACACAAACACATTGGTATTACAATTTTTGGGTGCCATCTCCTGCCACTTCCTATCTGTGTGCTTTTGACCACTTGATTATAAAGCCCTTCAGTACCTGTGTGAAGGGATTAAAGTGCAAGTGGACCTGCACAGTGTGTCTGGGCATGAGTGACAACCCTTGACTGCACACCACAGAGTTGGACTGGCCTTTCCTCTGCAGCTGCCTCACAGGTAAGATCTCCCAGCCCTGGAGCTTAGTGACAAGAGCAGAGCCAAAGGCATTTGCTTATGCCTTGCAGAGCCAACTCTGAGTTACTAGTCTTGACAGAAGTGATGGTGGTGGTTGGTGTGTCCTGCTGTATGTTTCTCTGCATGGTCCCTGGTAACTGCATGATCTGGTTTTCTCACCACCCTATTCCTCTGGATAAATATGTTTTGGGATGACACCTGAGTAACTACTCTGCAAATACAGCCCCTACTCAAGCTAGACTATTCTGGGCAGGAGCAGCCTGTCTGTGGCCAGTCCTTCCATCAGGAAGCCATAACAGGGAATGGGGCGGCTGAGAAGCTGCGTATTAGCAAAAGTGAGTAGTTCAGCCCATAATTGTGCAAGTGTCCACACTCCCAATCTGTTCCAAATATTAACTATATGAAAGGCTGCAAAAGTTTGGTGAAGTAACAGTTTAAACAATTATTAATAGCTCTTAGTTAGGGTGCCACACAATCTTATTACATAAGGCTCGAAGCATAATTTTTAACTCTGATAAATTCACGAAAGCCCAATGAAGGGAGATGAAGGCCTATTTCACTGCATCCACTAAATGGCTGGATCCTAATTTACAATTCTAGTTCTATCAAAATACAACATTATAACCTGATACTTGTTTATCCCACCACTCTGGCTAACTAACTTAGACATTTCAGTAGCCCTCTCTGGAGATTCTTCAGGCAGCTGCACACAACTACAGCCCAACACACTCAGCTCAGACAGAAAGTGTCTTACTCTACTGTCATTACTTTATCCATAGGTTCATTTCTGAAGTTACTGATAAAAATCAAAGTAATTTAATTTACTCAGTTTCCCCACCATTCTTGGGTTTAGTAATGTTTTAATAGCTGTAGAAAGAGTAAGAGGTGGTTCAGACAGGAAACTGATCTTTGTCCCTTTCCCTAAAGCACTGATGTTGTGGGCAGAATTAACTGGGCACCAAGAAAGCAAGTGAGAACCCCTGTCTTCTCACATGTCTGTACAGGACCTAGAACAACACTGCAGAAATACTCATCGTCATTCTACATTTATGGTTGTGTCTATCCCATGATTCTTCTGTCAGTATTGAGAAGCACAGACCCTCATGTGGTAGGAACTTACAAATGTGGTATCTGCTCCTACAAATCCCTTACTGTTGGCCAGGAATAAGGAAGAGAAGGATACCCAGACCAACTTAAGAGTTTCATGGTGCCTCTGTAGGCCACCTCACCAGTAGGAAATAACAAAGCACAGAGCAACTTGAACATGAGAGAAACAACTGTCATAGCTGTCTTTGTACACTTCATTATTTGCTTCTAGTCCCATTAGCTTAGTAATTTTGCTTCAGGAGTCACAATTATAGAACAGACTGGCTTCAGGCCAGCTGCTGCGGGAAAAAAGGGTTTAGAGAACCATCTAAGAAGATACCAGGAGATGCATAAAGCACAATACTCCTCAGGCTGTTAAAACCAGATGATTAATTTTCTTAAGGCAGGCTTAGCAGGCACTTGAGTAAGGATGCCTGTTTCAGATTTGCTTCTGTAATTTGTACCATGTTCATTCTTAAGGGCCAAATCCAACTATTCACCTATTTTCTCCATTAAGTAAGGTTCGTTCCATTTCAATTATCACACATCTAACTGGAAGTCTAGAAGCAGTATCATATTTAAATCTTCTAAGCCTTACTGCTAATTAATGAATAAACAAGGAAAATACCTGCCTTTGCTTATTTAGAGTATCCATTTTATATAGCAAACATATTTAACATATCAATTACTTGTGTGCTTAGGTAACCAAAGCTGACAAGAATATAAACTTACAGTGACAGTCTGCAATCACACTGTCATGATTTACTCAACTGCTACCAGCGATTCAGGCATGTGACTTGACCTGAGAGAACTAGACTAGTTTACCTTTGCAATACGGAGCTTGAACAACATTCTCAAGGTGATATGCTGAGATGATTTCATTATTGACAATGTTCTTCCTTTGTTGCTCTGTGCAGACGTACAAAACCCAAACTTTCGTTACACCGTATTTATGCATTTTCAACATCAAAGGTGTAACCTGTATCATTCACGATTTATGTGACCACTTTCAAGAAGCAGAAATGACAAAAGCCACACAGTAGTGCAAAAATATCGTCTACGGAGTCTAATAGAAATAAACTTCCTTTTTTTTTTTTTTCCCCCTCATCTGGCTTAATCAGAAGCTGTTTTGCTCAGGAAGCTCAGTAAGTTAACTCTAAAGCCTTGTTTATAACTATGCTGGCCTTTTTCACAGTGCCTGGTACAGCTGTACAGTTGGAGGGGGTGTGATACTATCACACCCTTCTCTAGCAGTTTAATATACAACTATCTATATATAAAAAAATTAAATATTGAGTATCACTATGTACAACTGAGGCTCAAAGCACCATCTAGCTGGAGATGGACAGAACTAAAAGACCACCAAGTAGCTATATAAAACTAGTTGATTATACTTTAAAACTTTGTTATGACCTAGAGTATTGGATCATTTCTAACCATACTGCAGTGTGGTTGCAATATTTCTAGGAAAAAAAAATAATCAGCAATTAGTTCTGAGCTGGCAAGGTCATTCTTGAATGCACTGGTGTTGGGTGCACTAGTTACTTACCAGAAGCACATGAAAGATGCAGCAGCATCCCCTTGGGTTAAAATGAGTTGGCAAAACTGCCTTTTGGTGAGGGTTCTTGATCAGTTCATATCCATCCCCCCAT